GCTTCTTTTATAATTTGTTAACTTGCGCTTAATTGTTGTGATTCTAATTTTATTTTATCTTCGTTACTTTTAATTGTTACTGTATATTTTACACTATCTTATTTTTTCATAAAATTTTACTTGTATAAATATATATTACGCCTGTATAATATCCTTGTTGCCCTCCCATCATTGTACAATTTTACCCTTAATGTTTATTAATATGCTGTATTCATTGTCATAATTAGTTAGTGTTTTTAAATCCTGATAATGCTCAGCGAAATCAGGAAATGTAACTTATGTTATTTTAATAAAATGAAATGAATGAAAAAAAAATGAATTGCACGCTTCTGTAGTAGCCGTGAGAAGCACTTCCCAGATGAACACAAGCCTTCGATTGTTGCAGCATTTAATTATTGCCATTCTGGGCCATAACGGGTTGTAGCCTTGCTCGAGAACTTTTTTAGAGAGCTCTGTAGAACATCTTCCTTTGGCTACATCGTCCTGATGCTCAGCAAGGCGGGAGGCAAGCATTCTTGTTGTTGCTCCTATGTATCTTGTAATAGCTCCTGTTATCGGATTTTCTAGGTGTATTCCGTAAACCCCTGACTTTTCTAAAATGGTTAGCCTGTCCCAATCGTTGCAGATACATCTACGTAGATTTGATGAGGGGTTATGGGCAGTATGAAATTATACCACCAAAATATACGGCTGATGCATGTAGAGTTTGGTCCAAGATACGACAATAATGACAGGATCACGGATGGTTTTTTTCCTTTCTGTACAGCATGGTACATGGGTATAGGGACTGTTTTACCTTATGGAGCACATGTTCATATTTGCCATGCATGAATCCAGCAAGAGATACTGCTCCTCTGACAATGTTTAATTTGATTTTTGTTGCTAGCTGCGTCGACGGAAGCAGTAATGCCCTTCTAACGAGTGCAATAATAGCAGCATTGATGTACCGCGACGGTTGGAAAGCATCTGCCGGGATAATATATGGTAACACGTTAGATTTGTGATGAACAGCAAATAGCGGCCCCTCAACTGACTTTTGTATACACAGATCCAGGAACATTATTGATTCTTCATGCTCCTTCTCCCAAGTGAAACTGATAGTAGGGTATATGCTTGAGAGTTGCTGCACAGATTTGATAAACTTCTCCTCTGTGTTCTCCCATACTATTAGGATATCGTCGGCATAACGCAAGTATAGAGATGGATAATTGATGGTAAGAGGGGAGTTGAAAATTCTACACTTGATTTCTCTCGTGACGAGCTTGGCCAAGACTGCAGATAGCAGTGAGCCCATAGGAACTCCTCGCTTCTGCAAGTAGACGCTCTTATTGAAAAGGAAATAATTGTGCTCAGTGATGAATGTCAGTGCATCATGTATGTCTAGCACTTGTTGTATGTTAAATCCCTTTTTGATGATCAAGGAGTTGGTGAGCATTACAGCTCCAAAAACAAGTACAGATGGATATAAGGACACCACATCTAATTTGTAGAAAGTATAGGAATCTTCATTCTGAACTTTTTATTTAAAAAAGAAACTGATAATATTATGGAGCCTAAAAAGAGAAGTGTCAAGAACTGTGCTCGTTGTAGAAACCAAATAAGAGATAATAGCCAAGGTAGAAAGTGGGCACAAGATGTCTGATGTTGCTAGGCAGTATGGCTTGAACAAGTCTACAATAGGAACAATCTTAGCTATGAAAAATATATCAAGAACTCTCAAGCTGCTAATGCAGTAATGAAAATCACATCTGAGAAATAAAGAGCATTTTAGAGCTCATAATGGAACCTGAAACTGATCTGACAACAGAGGAACTCCAAGAACTCTCAAATGAAGAGTACCAAGAAACTCAGCGAGATGTGTTTTCTTTTGAAAAAGAGGAAGGCGAAAGAGGACCAATGTCAACATCTGCTACTAAAGATCTTTTGAAGAAGTGGGAGGATGTGAGAACAACGATCATCCAAGTAGCATCCAAACCAGAATAAGGGTTGGGGATCTCTACAATTACAATACTGTTAATTACTTCCAAAAAATCCTGAAGAAAAGAAAAGCAATCGGCCTTGGACAGATTCTTTAACCCCCACAAATGGAAAAAACATGACTAATAAAAATGCAAGACTGCATATACCATGTATATGTATTTTTACTATTGGATATAAATAAACATAGTAAAAAAGTATATATGTTTTTATTTTTTGGAGTCTCTGGAATGAATTAATCAAATTTCCATAAAAACCTATGGTAAATCGATAATCGGTTAACAAACGAAGTCTTGGAATGGATTATGTTCGTTAACCGATCACCCACTGTATTTGTAACTTAAAAATATTTTGTATTAGTTTTATATTATATAAGTTGAAAATATTCTTTGCTAACTAAAGTAATTTTTACATTATATTTGTTATGTATGTAGGAGTGGATCAAGTATTATTTCAAAGAGATTTAACTAAAAATTTGAAGTTGCATAACAAATATCCTCAGGTATGTAAATATTAACATATAATAACATATTTATGTAAAATAATGTATTTATCACTTTTAATTTGAACAAATACATATACAATATATAGATAGAAAATGCTTAATATACAAGTTTTTTCTAAATTTTTTATAGTTTTAAACAAATTAAAAATATTAAACATATACAAAATTTTTTTTATGTATATAGATATACACATTTAATTATCTATTTACGCAGTACTCAAATTGCACAATTTTATAAACCAAAACTATTGAACACGGTTGGACATAATATATTTGGAAAAAATATAACAAATTCATTTTATGTAATAGTTTTCTTAGCTATAACACATTAATTGCAAAAGTTCTAAAATACACTTAAAGTTGAAAAATATTTTGATAATATACCATAATAAAATAAATTTTAGCATGTTATAATATATATTTCCACAGTTTAAAATAAAAATTCAATTTGCATGTATAAAAAGCAAAAAGTAATAATTGAGTGAAAAGTAATGTTGAATTTATCGTTATTGGTAGTATGAAATTATACCGCTGAATTATGCAGCTGATGCATATAGAGGTTAGTCCAAGATATGGCAATGATGACTGGATCATGGATGCTTTTTCCTTTCTGTACAGCGTGGTACATGGGTATAGGGACTCTTTTACCTTATGAAGCACATGTTCATATTTGCAATGCGTGAATCCTGCAAGCAATACCACTACTCTGATGATGTCTAATTCGATTTTTGTTGCTAGCTGCGTCGACAGAAGCAGTAATGCTCTTCTAACGCGTGCAGCAATGGCGGCATTGATGTACCGCGACGGTTGGAAAGCTTCTGCCGGGATAATATACGGTAACACATCAGATTTGCGATGAATGGCAAATTGCAGCCCCTCAACCAACTTTTGTATATGCAGATCCAGGAACGCTATTGATTCCTCATGCTCCCTCTCCCAAGTGAAACTGATAGTAGGGTATATGCTTGCGAGTTGCTGCACAAATTTGATAAACTCCTCCTCTGTACTCTCCCATACTATTAGGATATCGTTGACATAATGTAAGTATAGAGACAGATAACTGGTGGTAAGAGGGGAGTTGAAAATTCTAAGCTTGATTTCTCTCATAATGAGCTTGGCCAAGACTACAGATAGCGGGGAGCCCATAGGAACTCCTGGCTTCTGCAAGTAGATGCTCTTGTTGAAAAGGAAATAATTGTGCTCAGTGATGAATGTCAGCGCATCATGTATGTCTAGCACTTGTTGTATACTAAAACCCTTTTTGATGATCAAGGAGTTAGCAAGCATTATGGCTTCAAAAACAGGTACAGATGGATATAAGGACACCACATCTAATTTGTAGAAAGTATAGGAATCTTCATGTGTACCCCTCATATTGGAAGCAATGGTGGACTTGGCAGCTATAGACGACAGGGTAACATATGGTGATTCCGGAAGAAGTTCATGCAAAACTTTACGAGCGCCTTTTCAAGGAAATATGTAGGATGCGATCTTTTGTTTACCAGTGGGCGTAACAGCCAGTTTGCTTTATGCGTTTTCGGTTGAAAGAATAGCCTAGGGCATGCTACATTGGTGGGAGGATCAAGGCACGCAGTTAGAGTCGAAGCTACTCCTGGTAAAGCTGTTATTTTCTTTGTCCTTTGCAGTACTATTGGTATTGGATCATCATTTATCATCTGTGATTGTGATTACGATAGGAACTCATTGGCTCTAAAGATGAAATCGTCCTCCTTGCACAGAACAAATCATTTGTCCTTTTCAGAGAACAGAAGCCTCAAGTTATTCGTAGCTAGGAATTGCTATACTGCTTGGTGGTTTACGTGGTACTTAGGTGCGCCGGACACTTGCTTCGCCACCGCAAGCTTTGTGACAATTTCTAACTCCATTTGTGGGTACGTGGCTGCTGCCTGGCAAGATTTCAATGCTACTAATGCCGCTGGGAGGGGAGATATATTTGGGTCCCCTTTGTAGTATGCCGTGCACTTCGACGGGCACGTCCTCTTCCATATAATTATAATACAAAGTGGTTGTTACCACCTTTCTTTGTATGTGTGATGATCTCGTTAACCATTGAAGTTTTTTACTTAATTTCTTTCTTATCACCTGCATAGAATTAGATGCTATGCTCCATATTTTTCCTAATTCAATATATAGCGTAGAAGGGTCACACGCTTTAGAGAATTGCAGATGCGTCTGATAAGTTCGTAGTTCTGCTTCTGCAAGGCACTTGCGTTTATTCCTGATTAGCTTAGCTAAGAAGGATTTTTCTATCTTCAGAAGCATCCCTCGCAGGCATACCGAGAATGCCTTGCGTTTGAGTTGTATGCTCTTCGGTACTACCTGTTTTATTCTGCACATCAAAAGAAATTGCAATTGGGCAAGTAATTTTTGCCACAGCTTCACTTGCTTCAGCAATAAAAAGAAAAGCGATTTCGCAGTTTCCATCTTTAAGTAAAAAGTTAAATTAAAAAACTCGCACCAAGCTTTGTATAATTTCTGGATACAAATTCACTGAGTTCAGCATTAATAAAGTTCCTTTAGTATTAACACAAGCACTTTTGACGAGTGTATAACCATCGTCTTCAGGTGAAAATAACAAATTTTAACAAAACAAACATGCAGGATGTTCCAAAGGAACAGAATATTTAAATTCAAACCAGGTGTCCAGAAATTCCGTTAAGAATGTGCAACTCGTTTTTGATATGTTCGAATCTTCATATTTTACAATGCTAGCGGCGCATGCATGGAAATGCTACCACATTGGTGATATGATGTTAGGCACGTTTCATTTTTTAGACGCCGATACAAGGCAATCCACATCCTGGGTAGATCGAGGGTGGGAACATTGCACGCTTCTGAAGTAGCCGTGAGAAGCGCTTCCCAGATGAACACCAGCCTTCGATTGTTGCAGCATTTAATTATTGCCGTTCTGGGCCATAACAGGTTGTAGCCTTGCTCGAGAACTTTTTTAGTGAGCTCTGTAGAACATCTTCCTTTGGCTATGTCATCCTGATGCTCAGCAAGGCGGGAGGCAAGCATTCTTGTTGTTGCTCCTATATGTCTTGTAATAGCTCCCGTTGCCGGATTTTCTAGGTGTATTGTGTAAATCCCTATTAAATTAATAATAATTATCATTATTATTAATTTAAATACAATGAATATAATATAGAACAGGTGTGGCCAAACTTTTATCCCTTAGGGGCTACTTTTTTGGTAAAATGTAGTCTGCGGGCGACTATGAATATGGGCAAACAATTTTAGGATTTTTATATGCGCATGCATTAACATTCATTTGCATTGTTCATTGGGATAAATACAAACAGTATGGGTACGTTGCACAGACAGTCCATTATTGTAAGAATAAATTATCAAATTAAGATTTTTAAACATTAATTTAAGTGAAAGCAAATTGTTCAACTTTAGCTTCATGGGCTACTTTCAAAACCTTTGCGGTCAACTGGTCGACCGCGGTCTACGTGTTGGCCATCCCTGGTATACA